GACAAACCCAGCAATTGGGCTGTTTTGACCCAGCGGTTGGGTTACTACCCAGAAGGTTGAGTTAAACATTTAACCCACCCGCTGGGCCAAAACAGCCCAATTGCTGGGTTTGTCCCTATTTTACCCAGCACTGGGTTGTATTTAGCCCAGCATTTTTTAGAGTGCACACGTACATCTCAGAGACGTCTATTTGACGTCTGTATCTACATCTGTAAGATGTCTTTTTCAGAGTGTTTGCTCATCTGCAATACGTCTATACGACGCGTCCTATGCAGATGTCAAATAGACGTTTAGAAGATGTCTTTAAGGGGAGACACTGCACTGTTTTTTTCATGCACCTGTCAAGTTTGAGATTTCCGGCTTTTTGGTTTTTCATAAAGTGTTTTTTCAGATTTGTGGAAAGAAAACATCCAAAAGACACCGTTCAGAGTTTCTTTTATAGCACTTTATCTATTTATGTCAATAGATGTCAATTACAATACATGTTTTTAAAGGCCATTTTCTCAAAATGTTGTTTTTTCTCCAACACTGAGCCATAAATCTCCACTTCAGTAGGCTTTTTGGTTTTTCATAAAGTGTTTTTTCAGATTTGTGGAAAGAAAACATCCAAAAGACACCGTTCAGAGTTTCTTTTATAGCACTTTATCTATTTATGTCAATAGATGTCAATTACAATACATGTTTTTAAAGGCCGTTTTCTCAAAATGTTGTTTTTTCTCCAACACTGAGCCATAAATCACTTCAGTAGCACTTACACACACCAGACTTTACATTTTTATTCCTATAGTCTATATCCTGAAGGTTTTTACAGAGGGATTTGTTCATATATAATTTGCTTGATTATATGCAACATTTTAATACCCAAACAATTGTGAAAATATAGTGTTGTCTGTCTGTTCGAAGCCTTTTCTGAATTATGGAGTGACAAAAATGAGATTCCGAAAATTCCCTGTGTAAAAACTTTTGAAACAAATTCAACAAGAATACTGACATCATCCAGTGTTTAGATTGTTGTACTAGATATTTATGCAAATGAGCACATATTTAATTAAATAATGACTAATTTGCATATTTAAACCTAACATTTTAGAAAACGTGTAATACAAAAAATGTTTGCAATTATCAATGTAATCAATCAGCTGGGTAAGTAAGGCGATAACCTCATTTGCATATTTAAACATAACATTTTAGAAAACTTGTAATACAAAATATGTTTGCAATTATCAATGTAATCAATCAGCTGGGTAAGTAAGGCGATAACTATTAGTTGTTGTTTTTTTACCCTATTCACCTGCAGTGTCTCGCCTTAAGATGTTTATGATTTAGAGCATGCATGTAAAACTGACATCTTATAGACGTCTATCAGATGTTTGTACACAGCAGATGCTTTCCAGATGAAGCGATCTTTAACAGACATCTTGCAGACGTACGTGTGCTATCTGGGATTCATTATAAGAACCTTAAACATACTGCGAAAATAGCGCAAATAGTTTTTCCATTTACTGCACTTTGTTATTCATTTAGTTTTTTTTTTTACCAATAGCGGCTAATGGAACAAAAGTTGCGCGCATTCAACGAAAATAGCTGAAGCGATCTTTAACAGACATCTTGCAGACGTACGTGTGCTATCTGGGATTCATTATAAGAACCTTAAACATACTGCGAAAATAGCGCAAATAGTTTTTCCATTTACTGCACTTTGTTATTCATTTAGTTTTTTTTTACCAATAGCGGCTAATGGAACAAAAGTTGCGCGCAGTCAACGAAAATAGCTTATTTCCCCGTTTCATAGAGTTTAAGGTGTCCGTTTTACAGCTTGGTTTCAATACATGGTGCAAGTTTCGAGTTCACACAGTATAGTAGTACATCAACCTCTTTTATCTCAAAGAATGCAGGGAAGATATGATTTCTCATGATATGACTCATTTGAAGTCTCTGAATTTATTCCCACATGCATTTATTTTAATTCCAATCTAATTTTAAACATCTTTTTTGGGGGGGGGGATTCGTATAAATAATTAGTTTGACCCCTGCCATATTCCCGTATCCTTATCAAGACCACACAGCAAAAACAACTGAATATAGCCTTTCACGTCGTTGAGATTAATGCATCTCGTCCGCGGCGCAGGGTATATCAAGAAGCGCGAGCCCTCGGCGGATCAGCAGCTCCATCTGCACGCGGAGTGTTTTAGTTTGTTTCTCCACAGAAATAACGATCGTCTGTTATCTGAGGCGAACTGCCGGTGTCCTGACGCACGAACGCACGCGCGCTGGCTTATCAGGAGGCGTCAAGTCCGAGCGTCGTTTATTCTTAGGAGGATTTCGCACTTGCTCGTACAGTTTTGCGGTGATGTTATGGTGGTCAGTGGAAGCATGTGAAGCTGTCATATTCCAGGAATGGATCTCCAAAGGCGTCCAAAAACTACAGGTAAATAATTAAAATGAAATGCATCAGTGCAGGGTCTTTTTTATGCGTATTTATTTATTTATTACAGCTTTCTAATTCGCATGGCATGCAGTTGTCAGTATATTATTTATTATTTAACTTTTTATTTGTGCATAAAAAGTGAACGCTAGTAATTCTACGAATTTTTAATAGACGTTTTTAGGTAAAATTGCTAGACTAGTCGTAGGTGGCTGTTTTAGCCAATGCCAAAATGATTTTGATTCATAGGCTATTTGCCATTTTGACGTTATATATTTAGACATGTCGTGTACTGGTTGAAAATCATATGATAGCCACTGTAGAATGAGGAAACAGAATAGTCTATTTAATTGCTAAATAGATGATTGAACCGTCAAAGAGAGTCTGTTTAAGTGTAGATCTCAGCTGGGTTTCTGTAGAGCTGTTCTTTCTCAGTTTAAGATGCTGTGGTAATGTATGGGATGAAGACAGACATGATTTGGATGGACACTGCAGTACTTCACTTTTAGATTCATTCATTCGTTCATCTGAGCCTTGGATGAATCTTCATAAGCCTTTTCCCGGTGAATAAACACTACAGAACACTGCCAAAATGGACACGAAATGGACGTTTATGCCCAATTCCAACATGTCCCTCCCTGACCGCCTGCTCAATGATAGTTTCTTCCCCGGAAACGAGTCTGACTTTGGTCTGGAGATTTACCCTCACAATAGCACCCACCCTGGCTTCGACCAAACCAGCTCAGCAGTCATCACGTTTGTATACTTCGTCGTCTGCACGGTGGGGCTCTGTGGGAATGCCCTGGTCATTTACGTCATCCTGCGCTACGCCAAGATGAAGACCGTCACGAACATCTACATTCTGAACCTGGCCGTGGCGGATGTCCTGTGCATGCTGAGCTTGCCTTTCATCGCCATTCAGCTCTCGCTGCTCCACTGGCCCTTTGGATCGGCGATATGCCGCGTCGTCCTAACCGTGGACTCCATGAACCAGTTCACCAGCATCTTCTTTTTGACGGTCATGAGCTTCGATCGATACTTGGCCGTGGTGCATCCGATCAAATCCACCAAATGGCGAAAGCCGCGCATGGCCAAAATCATCAGCCTGGCCATGTGGGGCATTTCTCTGCTGGTCAACCTACCGATTATGATCTACAGCGGTGTGAACACCAAAAAGAATGAGGCAAGGACGTGTACCATGTTGTGGCCGGAGCCACAGAACACCTACTACACCGCTTTCATCTTCTACACCTTCTTCATGGGGTTTTTCTTACCACTGATAGTCATCTCCATGTGCTACCTGCTCATCGTCATAAAGGTGAAATCCTCTGGCATGCGAGTCAGCTCCACCAAACGAAAGCGCTCTGAGCGGAAAGTCACCCGTATGGTGTCTATCGTAGTAGTGGTGTTCGTCTTATGCTGGTTACCTTTCTACGTGTTCAATGTGACCTCTGTGACCGGAACCGTTCCCACCACACCTGTGCTGAAGAGCACCTTTGACTTCGTGGTGGTGCTGGGTTACGCCAACAGCTGCGCCAACCCCATCCTCTACGCCTTCTTGTCGGACAACTTCAAGAAGAGCTTCCAAAACGTCCTGTGTCTTAAAAGAGTCGGCGGCTTGGATGAGATCGAGCGCAGCGACAGTCGACAGGACAGGACTCGAATGGTCAACGACGTCATGACGGAAACGCACAACGCCGCGCTGCTCAACGGAGACCTTCAAACCAGCATCTGAGGAGATAAAAGCCACTGCTGAGATAGATGTTACATGAAATCTGTTTGTTAAACCACCTGCGCTGGGAGAGATTTAGTATTTAAGAGCAACAATACACATCTAAACGCAACCCAAACCCCATTTTTAGGACATCCTAGTGTCTTAAAATGTCCACTTGCATGAACTTGATCTGACTTATCTCGTGTATTTAAGCGATGAGCAAACGAATGTCGTTTACTGTAAATAACTCTATTCGGTGTAACTGTCTGAAGAAATTCTGAAGCTGTTGTGTTTCTTATGTGTGTATGTTCACTTCAGTGCCAAAATTGTCTTTAATGTTAAGAGATAAGTCTACCGCCAATTCAAGATCACGGCCCTCATTAGATAAACATGATTTCATTCTCTTTATGGAAACACAAGGCCAAGCTTGTTAGAGGCTTCTTATTATTCAAGGCTTTTTGTGATGATGAATACAAGATGAGTGAGTGCTTGACAAGGCCAAATCACTGAATATAAAACATCTCCGAAATCTAAAAAAAAAAAAAAAGATGTATGTATCGGTGGCATATTTATTTGTTGTTTATTTAGTGAATTATGCTTAGAATATCTTGTTTACATGCATATCATTTCGCCTCTGGTTCCCAGTAGAGTTTTATTTTGGTAGAGCAAATGTTCATAAGGTTCAGAGGAGAGGGGGAGGAAAAGATGGGCTCTGTTACAAAACTTACTAAGCTTCCTACTTAAACAGCATTATATGCCGCTCCAAAAAGTGTAGGCAGCACCATTTAAGATACCTCCTTCTTGGGAAATTTCTAAGGCTGTATTTATACAGTATCCTTCATAAAAAAGGCAATCTTAGAATGCACAGTGAAAAAAGAAATCATAGGGAAGTCTAATTAAAAGTCTAATTTCCTATTTTACCCATATTTTGTGTGTTATGTGTTTTTATGCTTATTAGAGGATTGCTGTTACCTTTGCAACATACTAATGCCTGAATCAGGAGTCATTATGGCCATAAATGCACACTAGGTTTTGAAACAGAGCTTTAGATTAATGTTTAGTTTCATTTAGAGCTTTATCATTACCTGACCTTTAGAAAGTTATAGAACTTTTTATTATGTTCTAATTGTGCAAATAAAGTATGAAGTCACCGTATGGCCATTGGTGGTACTGAATCAGCATTCATCATCTGGCAAATGAGATGCAAAGAAATCCTGGCTCCTGCTGTCACAAACACAAGTCCATGCTCACTCACCTAGTCATAGCAATGAGTGTCAGTGAGCCAGACAGAGAATGCAAGAGGGCATGCAGTTCACTCGTTATTCTGAGAAAAGTATTCAAACAAGTGCATAATTACGCAGTTCTTCTTGTAAAAAATATACCTCATTATAAAACATAAGATGTACAGCCTTTAACCATCATTGTGCTGAATGCATCCCATCACAATAATGTGGAAGCATCACTACACATGGACTGTTCTGTGGTGACGATGAATAGCATCAGAGCAGCTGCTTTACATGTGCATTGCTTGGAGGACTTTAAAAACAATTATTTATTCTAGCAAGGCTGATAAAACAACGCTGCAAGTGCCTTAAATAATCACGCAGAAACCGTGTGCGTTCATTCATAGAGCTTTAACAATAAACCCTCCACCTGAATGTACAATCAATTCATCTGCTGTTGTGTGCTTGTGAATAAGTTGCTGATTTAAAACCGCTGTTGCTCACAAAGCTGTATAATGTGTAAATATTGAGCTGGCGTCAACAGAACGTATTCAGCTCATGCCCATTTGAGGGGTTTAGATCATTTTAACATTTGCGAAGGGCTAAAACTGAACTTGTTTCTTTAGTGTGTCTGATTTCTAAAGGCCAGAATCAGATCTGTTACACTGCAAGTGTTGCAAAGTGAATGAGTTCACGTTCAGGTTTTTTCTAGGATCCAAACAAACACATTTTGAAACCTGGGGAAATACTGATGACGGCAAAGTGGTTATTTGTCAAGTACTTTGAGTTGAGTTCAGTGTGCCTTTGACCGGGTGTGTCACAGTGTGTCATGTTTCCGTGTTGTATCTCATGTCAAGTTGCCTAGAGTTCTCTGGTGAGTCTGATGGTGTGGGTACAAAAGCATTAGCTTAATGTTAATGACAGATTTCAAAGATGTCTGTCATTCTTCATCATACCATACATCTGTTTGATTAAAGGAACAGTACACCCAAAAATGAAAATTGTCTTAAAATATACTCTCCCTCAGGTCATCCGAGATGTAGATGAGTTTGTTTCTTCATCAGATTTGTAGCATTGCATCAGTGTCTCAGCAATGGATGCTCTGCAGTGAATGGGTGCCGTCAGAATGATAGTCCAAACAGCTGATAAAAACATCACAATAATCCACAAGTAATCCACAGCACTCCAGTCCATCAGTTAACATCTGGAGAAGACAAAAGCTGAAGCAAATCCATCAAGACGTTTTTTAACAAAAATACGAGTCTATAATCCATAATAACGCTTCCTCCAGTGAAAAAGTGCGTCTCCTGTCGTCTCTCACATCAAAATCCAGCCATATATTTGTGCTTGATCTGTGCAGATTTCTCTCCTGATTCAGACCAGAACACTTTTTCACTGGAGGAAGCGTTATTATGGATTATGGACTGTGTGGAGAATGTGTGTGAGTGCGATCATAAGGATGTAGCATAGCTTCACGTCAGGCTGAGAAGTGCCTGTCATTCTCCTCGTTGCTAAGCTGCCACAGCTCAATTCTGGCCCAGCTGTTTATTTTAAAAATCCAATTTATTACAATCCACTTAAACAGAATAATCCTCAGGTCTAATTAAATGATTCCTCACACGCTCTTGTTGTCAGGTCATTTGTGGAGAAAGCACGATTGCTTTTTAATTAAATTTTACAAAGGCGCAAACCCATTTTAAATGATCCTTTCTTTAAGTAGAGAACATTACATATTTTATAACTTTTAACAATACAATTTTATAAAAAGGTCTCGTTTGTTAGCATGAGCAATGCATTGTCTAACATAAACCAGTGATATATTTTGAAGCAATTATTAATATTGGTTAATGCACTAATAGAAATACAATTATATTGTACAATTACATATGATTTAAAAACATATTAGTAAATTTTGAAATTAACATTGATTAAGATTAATAAAGGCTGTAGTAGGAGTATTGTTCATTGTTAGTTCATGTTTAGTTAATAAATGAAACCTTAATCTAAAGTGTTTCCCATTTAACATTACATTTTTTTTAAAGCTTCAATCAAAATACAAAATAATGCAAATTACCAAAATGTAATATTATGCCATTTGTGAGGTGCAATATATAATATTCTAAAGTTATGTGTATGCATTTGTGTTTAAAAGTGGCTGGTCATGTAAAATAATCATGTAAAATAATCCCCAGTTTACAAACACATTACAGAGAAATTCATCTTGTTTGTAATCTGTGAGTCAAATTCAACACAACTGACTAACTGCTGTAATAATGACACATCAGAAAATCTTGACTTATAAAGATGTATGACAAAAAAATATTTTTTTTTTGCAATCATATTGTTGCAAAATGTCTCCCCCTGTTGTCCAGTTTGGGTTTCGCTTTCTATTTAAAAAGTAAAGGATTGTAGACTTGCCTTAGATGGCTTTGTATCTTTTGGCTTGTATATGGATTATGCATCATGTTTATGACCTGTAGTTATTGACAATTGTTGAGAATCATGTGACTGAGTAACCGCCAACCTTTTTCAGTGTTGTTATTGACAAAAATGAAGTGCATTACATTCATTTACCAAACAAATAAAAGCTTGTGTGTGAACAATGCTCAGTTTGACTTGTGTATATGCAGTATAATTATCAAATCAAGCTCAGTATACTTACAACCCATATGAATGCAATGCAAGTGTCTTTTTTTTGCTCAGTTTATGATTGTATGATTATATAAATATAAATATTATATGCATTTATTTAAACAAAAATACAGTACAAAATGTGAAATATTATTACAATTTAAAATAGCAGTTTTTTATGTGAATATCTGTTAAAATGTAATTTATTTCTGTGATGCGCAGCTGTATTTCCAGCATCACTACTCCAGTCTTCAGTGTCACATGATCTTCAGAAATCATTCTAATATGCTGATTATTAGAAATATTTCTGATTATTATCAATGTTAAAAACACAATGTTTTTGTGGAAACTGTGATGCATTTTATTTTTCAAGATTCACAGATGAATAGAAAGTTCAAAAGAACAGCATTTATTTGACATAGAACTCGTTTGTAACATTACAAATGTCTTGACTGTCACTTTTGTTCGTTTTAACGCGTGCGTACTTGATGAATACAAATATTAATTTCCTTAAAAAATAAATAAATAAAAAATCTTAGTGATCTCAAACGATTTGAACGGCACTAAATAAAACCATTAGGCAATATCTAGATCAGCGTAATACTGGCATACTTCAAATATACATATTTTTATGGACAGTTTTAGGTTTATTGTAAAGTATAATCAATAAATAGGCTACTATTAACATCAAATGAAACCCCTGTGCCTTGCAACTAACATTTAAACCTCGTGTTTCTCTTGACTGGCACACAATGAAACCAAAGACATTAGTCAAAGCAGTGTTTATTCAAAACGAGGCTTTTGCTGTCATTCGGAGTCAACAGGTGTGGAGTATGGACCGAGTTCTTCCGGCGAGGACACACCATCTGTCTCTGTGGCTCAGTGTCTGCGCTGTCATGCTCACCAGACCTTCCTGTTGCCAGTAGAATAGGTTTTCTGCCGGTTTCTGTAGGTAGTCTAAGAAAAACACTCGTCTACTTGAGGTCTATTTAAAAGAACTGCAGGTGCAAGGATGTGCTCAAAAGAGTGTGCGATCAGTTTTGCCTTGAATGCAACACCGTGTCGATTTGGTGTCTGTGTGAAATAAAACAGTTCGGGAACGCTCTTTGTGTTGTCTGCAAACATTAGGGAGCTTTATTCATCTTTTGAAACAAAACTCCAGCGATGTGTCACCCGAGGATAATGCATCTTCATTTTAAACCTGACTCATCTTTATATGAATAATTTCTCTCCCTCGTCTAGTCATTTATTTCACGTTGCAGCATGAGAGCGTTCAGCTGGAAGATAATTTGTTTGAATGTGTCTTTACAATTCTGTCTCGTGAGCGCCTACAAGAAACAGAAGCCGCGTGATGCATCATAATTACCTGAAACAAGAGCTTGTACTAGCTTATGTCTAGCATTTGTCAGTTTCCAGCCCAAACTTAGTCAAAACGTTACTGTGTCGATGCTCTGATCAAACAAATAACCTGTTCAAAAAATTATTATTATTTTATTTTTTGAAACAATTTGACATTAAAATATTCTAAAATATACAGTTATTATAAAACAATAACATGGCATTAAAATATCATTCAATATATATTGAAAAACATTTACTGAACTAAATATTATACATATATTATTACAATATATGTGTGACCCTGGAGCACAAAACCAGTCATAAGGGTCAATTTTTTAAAATTGAGATGTATACATCATATGAAAGCTGAATAAATAAGCTTTCCATTGATGTATGGTTTGTTAGGATAGGACAATTTGATTGTGTGAGTGTGTGTGTGTGTGTGTGTGTGTGTGTGTGTGTGTGTGTGTGTGTAGCATTTAAGTGTGTGTGTGTAGCATTTAAGTGTGTGTGTGTAGCATTTAATTAAATTTTTCAGTTCCAGAGTGTTTCGGGTTTTCATGTTCTTAGATTTATTTGTGTGATAAATTGGGATATATATATACATATATATATATATATATATGTGTGTGTGTGTGTGTGTGTGTGTGTAATAGTATGCTATGTAATAGTTATAGTATGATATGTAACTATGTAATTTTTATATGCAATGATATGAAAATAATATGAAATATGAAAATATCATGATAAAAAATTAAAATATATTATTATACATTTGATATATATACTATATATATATAAAGCAACCAAATTACATAAATATAATATTTTTTCTAGTTCAAAGTAAAACAAGTATAACCCATGTAATATGAAGCCAGTCTAATGGAAATGGGCAATTACTGTGGTAATACTCCGTGTGTGTGTGGGCTGTGCGGGTAATTGTCGGGGGACTGAGTGATGGCACAGAGCTGTCCGGAGGGTCAGTATATGGACAGGCTGCTGCGAGAGTGTGTGTCCTGCAGAATGATCTGTCACGACTCCACGATTCTGACACGCTGCTCTGAGTTCTGCGGTAAGTCTTCAGCTGTCTTCAGCTCACGCATGTGAAGATCATGGTCTGATGAAGGGCGTGTGATGCTGTGTGGCAGTGGCCTGGAGATGTAAAGCCGTGTCCGGTCAGTTCTACGACACGCTGCTGAAGAAGTGTCTGAAGTGCTCCGAGCTGTGCGGCAGTCACCCGGCGGCCTGCGCAGACGCATGCAGGAGTGAGTCAAGCATCTGCATCAATGAGGAAATGACCCACAGAAGCACATGGTTCCAAATATGGAAGCTTGTTTCTGCCTGAGTTTTCTTTTTCACGATTGTGCATTTATAGCTCTTAATTGCAAGTTGTAGGCTTAAATGCGCAATTCTGACTTTTCTTTTTCTTCACAATTCTGAGTTTACATCTTGCAATTCTGACTGTTATTTTTAGACTTCTGAATTTATGTCTCGCAATTCTGACTTTTATTTTCAGAATTCTGAGTTTGCATCTGGCAATTTAGACTTTTTTTTTCTGAATTCTGAGTTTGTCTCACAATTCTGATTTTTTTGCAAAGTTTGCAACTGGCAATTCATATATATATTTTTCTAATTCTGAGTTTACATCTTGCAATTACATTTTTCTTCAGAATTCCGACTTTACATCTCACAATTTTCCTTGCCCTTCTGAGGGGAAAAATTCATAACTACAAGAAAAAAGGCTGAATTGTGAGATATATGGGCTACTCAGAATTGCGATAAGTAAAAGTCAGAATTGTGAGATAAAAAGTCGCAATTACTTTTTTAGTAGTCTGTGGCGGAAACAAGCTTCAATTAAATACTACCAGCTGCCTAAACAGTCTAATGTGATTATACCCCTTACCAAAATTAACCATGATTTTATTATAGTAAAAGTGTAATGACCGGGGTTAATTTGAAGTTACTATGGTTTAACTATAGTAACCATGGTTTTTGGTTTTATTTGTAGTAAAACCTTGGATACATTTGTACTTAACTTGTTTTAGAAAGTGTCTGTTGTACAGCTAAAACTCATGTCTATAAACCTTGATGGCCGCAGGTGCTGTGTCCGTGACGCAGAGGCCTGTCGGCGGGTCTACAGTGCAGCTGGTGACCGACAGAGGGCGCTCAGTGCCCGGATCAGCGCTGTACTCGGAGGCGCTGCTGTACTCGCTGCTAGGCCTCTGCATCACCGCGCTGGTGTTCACGCTGACCGCTGCTTTCCTGCTGCTGCTCAAGAGAGCCAAACAGCAGCCGCAGCTGGACACCAAGAAACAGCAGCCCAACAAACACGGACAATCATCCAAAGGTCAATAACAACACTATTTAGCTACACTATCTGTGGGACACCTCAAAACATATTCAGCATCATATCTATCTATCTATCTATCTATCTATCTATCTATCTATCGATCTATCTATCTATCTATCTATCTATCTATCTG